AAAAAATAATAAAAATGGGTAGTTAGGCACATATAGAAATAGTCTTAGATGATATGGGCAAAGAATACAATAGTACAACTGACATGATAGGTCTTTGGACGGTGGGGGGGGGAGAGAGAAAATTTATTTATATTCAGAAAAATGTGGGGTGACCAGTTAGCTCAGTTGGTTAGAGCATTGTGCTGATAACACCAAGGTTGCTGGTTTGATCCCTTCGTGGGCCACTATGAGCTGCGCCCTGCCTAAAAGAGTCAACTGTGCCATTGTAGCATGAAAGCAATGTGTAACCAATGACCATGACTGTACCCCAATTAAAAAAAAATTTTTTTTTAAAGAAAATTAACCAGACGTAGGTTTTATGTGCATTTTTTTTTAAAATAAGAAAATGCTCAGGGCCTCTAGGAAGAGATGAAAAATTGCTATCTATAAAGAGCATATGGGACTGGCAGTTGTATCTGCTGAAGGAAAAGGAAAAAGAAATAGCTGAAGGCATTGTGTCAACATACATTCCCTAAGTTATTTTGAGGATCCTAGTCTAAACCTCAAAATTGCTTGAAATCTAAGTGTTGTATTTTAATATAGACTTTGGATCCTACACTACAAAATGTTTATTTTTCAGTATGAATACATTTTAAGTTAAAATGTTCACCAGTTTTCTACCTGTCTTAATGATTAATGGGCCAGATGTAGAAATTGCATTGGGTATATAGATTTCAGTAAATTGGGCTCAATTGACGAGAACTGAGAGTAAAAGATTCAGCATCTGTTTCTCTTCTCTGACTTAAGTCATGATATTGAAAGCCCCAACTCAGAAATATGTGACTACAAATCGCAACATTAAAAAAAATTATTTACCGGTTGTGTTAAGGTCATCATTAAGGGGAAATGTCCAGAAATCTATGAAAAAAGTGGCATACTGTATCATTTTTAGGCCATTATTGGTGGAAAACTTGATAAATATATCTTGTTGCTAGAAATTCAAGTCCCTTTGTCATGTAGGAGGATTGGAAGGATGTCTAGCCCAGTGGCCTATCCTTTTACTATCATAGTTAAATGCTCGCCAGTGAAAAAGATTATGCTGTTTTTTTAATCATCATACTTTTCATTTTTATTATGTGTTAGTAAATTAATATTCTGGTCTTCCCAATGAACGTTTTTTGTCCAAGACTTAACTATTTCAGTGCATTAACTTAGATGTTTCACACAAATGTCACGCACATCAAACTCAGTGTGTTCAAAGCTGGATTCATAATCCCGCCCTAATCTGAGACACCACTGTCTCTCACTAGAAAAGGTTCCTCACTGATTTTCCCATATCTACCCTTTCCTGCCTTTTCCCTTTCCCCCTCCCAGATCAACTCATTCTCTTTACTTTTCTCTTTAAAACCCGTCAGAGATGTCTCATTACTATCAAAATCTGTCCCTAAATCTTTACATAGCTTGCAAAGCCCTGCACAGTCTGGCCATCCACTTTCTCCTCATGTATTGCCACCTCCCCCCTCAAACACTGAGGAGTCTCTTTAAATTTCCTCCAGCCCTATTATCTATGGTATATTCCAAGCATGGTTTCAAAGTACTTAAAAACATTATTAACCTCATCTTATATAACAAATATAAAACCAGTTAGTACTGGAGTTTAGAATGTAAACAAATATAGAGAAAATAAAAACGGCATAGTCTTAACATACTGAAGTTGGATATGTAGATGAAGTGTTCAACAACAGAATGACTCTGAAAGAGGGAACAAGTCATACAACAGGAAAAGTACAGTACCAAAGCAATTGAAACAGTCACCAAAAAAAAACCCCAAGTTAATGGTGAAATGGAAATTACTTGAGCCACTTGTGTGGCTCAGTGTCACATATGTATACCCCACATGAATATCAGGTAACTGACTATTCAGGTATTAGTTTAGGAGGAGGCTAATAATAATTTAATAATAGCACATATAGCTCTTACTATGTGTCAGGCACTATCCTACATATATTAACTCATTTGATCCTAACAGCAACCCTTAGAGCTAGGGATCACTATGTCCTTATTTTACAGATGAGAAAATGGAGGATCAGAGAAGTTAACTTGCCCTAAGTCACATAGCTAATCAGTGGTGGTGTAAGACCCCAAGCAGTTTGGCTCTAGAGTTAGTATTCTGATCCATGTGCTGTCATGCCTATAGTTGATGTAAGAACTTAAAAGATAATCAAGATGAAGTGTGTATCACAAATCATAGCTGATTCCATCGTTTCCATGCCCTTTGAATACTTACAACGTCAGTGTTCATGATGGCACTAGAACTCTAGTTCCATCTAGCAGGCAGAACTCTAACATCTAAGGAATTCTCTATGGTATTTGTAGAGTTTATCATGACTAGATAAAGGACACTCACCTCAACAAACTTCAGTCTTGCCAAAACTGGTCCATTTTGGAAAAGGCTGCTCATTTAGAGTGTAAGTCAACATGAAGAAGAGGTGTCTATCTGGCTTGAAAGCACTGAAAGACTCGCCTTCTGGTTTGATGGCAATATCTCTGGAGGATGAGAGTTTAAACCCCTCTTAATTATTTTGAACTTACTCGTATGTTAAATGACCTTTCAACTTTTGAAGCCTAACCTGTTTGTAAGAAGAAGAGCTTCAATATTGTTCTGTAACTTCTTGTTTGTTTTTTACTTAACGATGCATTCTGGAAATCTTTCCATCAGTTTTTTTGTGGGGTTTTTTTGGACGACTGTAAAGTGTTTCATCATATGGATGTACCATAATTTAACTAGCACATGATTGATTTCTCAGTGTTGCTCTAAAAGTGACTTCATGGAATCAATGCTTATTTTATTCCTGATTATAAAATATATTATGGACTTTATAATTCTCAATCACATATTTTAATTAAGCTCTAAGTAAAGGATGGTAAATAAATGTCGTACAGACCTCTGTAACTATACTTTCCAGATCCTGTTAATTTGATCTCTGCACATTTACTAGCTAAGCCATGATCAACCTTGAGAATTTTTCTGAATTTAGTACTTGAGGCAGCCTCTGTCAGTCAGTTGGAGTTACTGCTTCAGAGGAAATCTATTTGTCAATACTCTGGATTTATTATAGCTGTTTACTTATGGCTCACTAGTTGCGTTGTCACTAGGGGCTGTCAGGTTATGTCTGGGAAGCCTCAAAACCACCCATGTCTC